CGAGTACTCTTCTAGTATATATATATATATATATATATATAATGCCAAACTTTCGCCATGGTTATCGTTATAATTAGACCCCGAAGGTTAGTTTATCAGTGGAAAGTGAAAGGAGGTCATATCTTCATGTTTACGTGTCCATGTTTATTGGCTTTTTTAGACCACATAATATAATTTTGTTGTAAAAATAATGATCTTTTTGTTCAAAGGATATTCATTTCATTTTCAACACACAAGTTGTCACCATCATCATTCCCAATTTTCAACATGATAAGAATTAATACTCATCAAACATAAATATTAAAGGGCTTGTTTATCAAACGTTTACTTGGGTAAGTGAACATCGAGTTTCGTTATCTTACCGGATGAATATGGTAAAGATAAAAAAACTTACCCGGTAAGAGCGAGACAAAGACCAAAAGTCTTACCCGATAAGTGAGGACGACGACTCTTACCACGATAAGCGCTTATTGTTGCGTACGATATCGTTTTAATAGACTAAAATCTTACCCGGTAAGTAAATGATAGTGTTAAATTTGTCGGAAAAACGTTTACCGGGTAAGTGTTTGGTAAATGACCTCTAAGAGTTGTTTGGCAGTTGCTAAATTATTTGGTGCAGTTAATTGGTCAGAATGATTAAGAGACTCTCATAATATAGTGTAAAAATGAAATATAATTATTTGATAATTATTTACAACGAAATTAGGGCGCTGAATTGTTAAGGGATGCCTGTGATACAAAATCATTCATATGGTTTTTAAACCATTGAGAGTCGGAAAAAATTTGTCAAACAAGATTTACCTCTTAACGATGCTGCCTTTTAATGAAACTATTAAAATGTAAACAAACAACCTATAAATAAAACAAACTAAAAAACTGTAAATTTCACTGATACATGATTTTTTAAACATCATGAAAGGAAACATAATAAAGTATTCGTTGTATCATGTATTCATTAAGATCTAAATCCTGTATTTTTAAAAGCATATATGAGTATATACAGTATGCAGGTGTACAACTATAAGATACTGGTCATGTATGTTTAATTTATAAATTTTACAAACAAGACTAGCAAAATTACTAAGATCTAATGGATCAGTTAAATCGATCAAAATGGTATGGTTCGTCCGTTGACACTTTTGATTAAAAGCCGACGGTTCATTCGTTTGAGATGTTTAGAATCTTGCTTCAAAGCGATAATCAAACTAAAAGACCCGATTTTAAATTTTTATATTGATTATAATTGATCAAAGTGTTTCAGTTTAACGAGCTTATTCAATTTAAGTCAAATATATAGACACATAATTATTTGAAACCCGAGTAAATTATACTGATTTATAAACCAGTTTTTATGA